CTGGCGCATGAGTCTTGTGAAGCCGACTGGTAGAACATTAATGCCCATCTGCGCGCACAAACTATTCCATTGTACCATCTCTTCTCCTTGTCGTTCTCTAAGTGGTTGGCATATTTTACTGTTTCGATAAACCCGAATTTGACTCACCGTCTGCTTTGAAACTGGTAAGCAGGATCTGGACATTCAATTCAGTATTCAGGGAGGGAAAATGAACAGTTATTTTAAAATGATAAAGTTATGCTAGGAGCTAAAAGGCGAGCAGATATGCAGTCATAGACACAATTTAAGCAATCAACACTGATCTTAAGTTTTAATTTAGCAAGTTCAATATTACTGCTTCTATTATACTATCAATTAGGCCGTATTGAAATGATACAAGGACAATCCGTATATCGGTCTGATCGAATCGAATAAAAGTTCTGAATCTAAAGGTCTACTGGATCATCATTCTGGTACATAATATGTAAAAGTGTCGTTCACAAACAGACATAATACCTACGTTGTAACCCATCGAGGTCATTAAAAATATATTTTGCCTTAAGCTGATTCAGTAATCAAACGGTGCTATTCCAACTGGAATGGTTTTAGAACAAATGTTATGATAATTTTTGTGGGTGATATGAGGTTGGCCGAAAAAAATCGACCGAGTTGTATAATAGGGTCTATGGAAGTTATATAACTATCTGAACATAAAACAGACGTTGTCCGTTGTTCACATTCAGTGAACTGGAAACCCCCTCGATTACTTTCATTGCAGTTCAGTAGGCTCTAAATGTGATGTGTGAATACTAAGAGGCTGCCCAATGTTATTTAATGTGCTGTCACAAACAAACACGGTATATGTTTTTGATTTTGAGTTTGATTATTCAATATTTTCGTATGCATTGCACTTCAAAGAAAAATTCTCGCAGTTTAAATAGATTTTTACACGAAAATTTACGTCAATCTTGACTTTAACTGACAGGTTTCGATTCTTACCAACGAACCAATCTAAATTTGTCAATCTGTTGAACAGAATATGCGTATGTTAATTTTCGTATGATGAGCTATCTACATGAAACACTGTCTTAAATTACATGAACTTAACATTTGCAAGTTAATTCTACCAAGAAGGTGAAATGTTGACAAAATATGATAAAATGATTTTAAAATGAGATAAATAATATCATGCTTCCAAGAAGCTTGATGAAACTTCAGCGTGATTAAAATAATAGGTTCAATTTTCACTTTTCAATAGCTTAAAAATGTTTTCAGTCGTATCGAACGAAAGAGCCAGGAAACCCTAAGTAGGCAGGCAGATTGGAATGGTTATATATATATATATATATATATATATATATGTCATAACACCGGAGGCTAGTTATAAGGTGCTCCAGATGTAATGCATGCATTGAGTTTACAAAAATGTGTTGTGCTATATTATGTACAGGAGGAACGAAAAATGGTCGACTCAGATACCCGGTGGCAGTACGCTTGCATTTTACCTTTGAAGTCCTTGGTTTGAACCCCAGTTGGGTTGATAAATTCGCATTGTTAATGAGAATCAACTAGGTAGAAACAGATGTCTATATAGTTGACTCATATCCTCCACAACCGTCATGCAAATAATAAGTAAAATAAATTTTCTGTGAGTTAAAAAAAGATTAAAACACTTGACAACAGCCATATTATTTGAACAGAAAATATTTTGCTCCTTTTATTGTTTTACTGATTTATAATCTATTTATAATTCAACTGCTACAAGAACGGGAAAATGGTACTGAGGATACATCATGAACTTCCCCGCAGATACAAAGTTCTAATTTGGTATACTACCAGGAAATGTCATGCTTTTTGTGTTGACCAAACGTTGCACTTAAGCATGCACATCAAGCAATTCTGAATCGACTAGACAGTGCTTTATTAAACATCTCATCCCAAAGAAGTCCGTATGATTGCGAGCATCACACAGATGACAAAGCAATGGAAATCTAATTTATTTGGCATGATATGACGAGTTAGTTACAGAAGAAAGTCTGATATAATTATATAACATCAGAAGTGAGAAAAACCGGATGAATCAGAGCTCCAGGAACCAGAACAGTTCCATTACTTGTGGCATGACGGTGAAGATCACACCACGACAATTATTTTTAATTGTTCAAATTGTTGTTTGGCAAATTTGAAGTTTGTATGTCGATTGTGAAAAGTTCAGTAACCTCGTTGGGATTTGAACCCACACATGGACGCCGCCTACACTTTGTACGCGCATGCTCTATCAGATGAGCTACGAGGCCACACCGATAGTACTGATCTTTTCTAACTGGTAGATGCCACATGTCTCTGTAAGTTGGA